AATGATCCATTGGAACATCAGAGGCGCGAGCACAGGCTCATGAAAACAAGAACCAAGCTCACCATCGTCAGTGGCGGCTTGCGGGATGTTGTGCGGTCAAGCAAACTGGCAAGCATCCTGGTCAATCGAAGCTTGAGCAAGGTGCAGTAAGGCTACTCAGCAAGCTTTCTCGCTTCACCAAACCAAACTGTTGGGGGCAAAGGCAAATTCCTTCCAGCTTGCCAGCTGCAACTTTGATGTATTGCATCGCGTGTGCATTGTGAGCAAAGAGCTGTACGCAGAATGAAACTCTGGCCAAGGGTGCAACACTAGAACAAACTCCCTCCTGAGTCTCATTCTGTTTCATAGCAGCTTGCGGTTGTCAACAATGGAGGAGCCTCGCCCCAAATTAACCCAGCACTTCCCATAGATGTTGCAGGGGTACGGACGAAGATGATTCTGCATGCACATGTGCTCTTGTCACAGAAGCACAAGCGCGGGCCCATGGAAGCAACCATGATCCGAAACCTAAGTACGCGCTGGCAGACAGCATGCTTGCTGCCGAGGATGCCGTGAATGCCATTCCAAGCCAAGCACTATGTGCCATGCTTTGCCGAATTCACGTGTCTTAGATCGTGCCAAGGACTCATCCATGTCCTCACGTTCAGTCATGAGCGAATGGCCTGGAATGCCGGGTCGCACGGAAGAAACCATGCCACGTGTCACTTTGGTCAGTGACCACCCCTCTCACTGCAGCGACCGCTGCGGGCTTGGCAGTGGGCCAAAAGCTGCCTGCAATGCATCCGAGCCCGCTTGGAATGCTGTGGAATAGCCTACTCACCAACTTGATCATCTGTCGGAGGTTCCCATATGTACAACGTACGGTCGGAATTTAATTCTGGAATTGTTTTCGTTCTTTTTCATATTTTTTGGGCATTAAACAGCTGCATTGTATAGTATATGCTCTTGTCAAACGCATTCGTTTTACAGCGGGTTTAGAGTTGGTTTAGGCTATCGCTGGGGTTTAGATAGGTTTCAGATGGTCCAGTTTAAGGATTGTTTCGTGCTGGTTTGGTTGGTTTAGGAGGGTTACGGCGGGCTTTCGGTACGTATTGTTTGGAGTTGGTTTGGGGTTGGTTTTGGGTGGGTTTGGGGGTTGGTGTCGGAGGGCCTCAGGTTTCTGTATGGATTCTCTCGGGCGGGTTCAGGATGGGTTTAGGATTGGCTAAGGGTGGGTTAGTTGTGTCTTACGCTGGGGAGTGTAAGGATGCGCCCAATGGTTTGCCTTTCCCGGTTTAGGGTTTAGGGCTTGTTTTTTCTGGTGGGTTTCGGGTTGGTTTAGAACTGACTCATTGCTGGCTTTCAGGACTTCTTGAAGGTTCTTTGTTTTCCCCAAACAGCGAAGCCATTAACTTGAGGGTCAAAGAATGAGAAAGGGTGACGTTGGCTCCGGGGCCACTTGCCTTCGGTCAGATGCCACGCTCCTGCTTGCCGCTGTGTCTCCCAGTCTCTCCGGTCAGATGCCAGATGGTGTGGCTCCGGGTGTCTCCCACTTGTCTCCCTGCGTCTTCCGAGTCCTGCTGTGGGGCGGGTCAGCAGCAGTGTCTGTGAGCAGGCGTGTGCGCCGTGACCTCTTGCCTTGTTACTGGCTTGCTCCCTTCTCGCTGAGCGCTGCTTGCAAGCTTGGTGGTTGCGCGTTGGGTCTTCCAATCTTTCTTCTGGTTTCGTGCTGTCTGTTGCGAAAGAATTGCAGCGCAACTGACACCACGGCCTTTTCAAGTTGGTAGCTCTCATGCGCTGCAGCATGTGGCCTGTTTGCCTCGTCCGTGAGTCCAGCGCCAGCACCCCTCGCCTTGTGGCCCTTCAGAATACGCTAGCATGGTTGCCGCAGTAACGGCCACTTTGGTCACAATCAAGACCTGGCCACAGGACACCAATGATGACCGTGTCAGAAGGTCCCACGTCCCTCTTCGCTGTCTCATCAGATCTTGACGGGGATCCAGGAGGCAAGCCTCCTTCGTGTGCGGCCGGAACTGAACCGAACTCAGAACGAATGCTACGAACCGTGCGAACCCAAACCGAACCAGCATTCAAGTGGTGCGAACTGTCAGAACGCAACCGTACGAGCCGTTAGGCGCTTGTGACGGCTGCTGTTTCTGGCCTTGCGCGCAATGCGCCACGGAAGACAACGCGAAGACAAAGACTACTGGCGCCCGACCGAGTAGTGCCAAAATGCATGTTGCGGCTCTTGGAAGTTACATGGATCTCTAACAGCCAAGCTATTTGCAATGATGACACGCGCGCAGCACCGCTCTGACTGGCACGACCCAGCAAAACACTTGACATTTCAGCAAATTAGGAAAATGAGATATTTCCAAACAATGTGCATCTTGTGAAGTTCTGATTACAAGCTGCTTCTTGTTTCAAGTCCCCTTGCTAAGTGTATCGTAAGTCGCCCGTAAGTTCCGTAGCAGGACTTCTACGTGCTGCTCACTAGTGGCTTGGGCAACCAGCACAGCAGGCAGTGATCTGGACACACCGACAAGACAGGATAGCTTCCGCTCGATTTCGGTTCATGTTTCGCAATTATCGCTTTGGCTCAGTTCATCTTCATTGGTGGTGTCCCTCGAAACTGTCTCTTCGGTCAGTCTTCCGGTCGTCTTTCCACAAACCAGTCTTTCCCGGCGCTCTTCTGGTAGTCTCCTGCAGTGTTCGAGCAGTAGTCAAGTAGAGTCTTTTCGTAGCCTTCGGGGCGCAAGCCAAGATGCATTTTCGTGCCTGTCGGCCTCTGGTAGTCTTCCCGTAGTCTGCGGGTGGTCTTCCTGCAATCTTCCTGTTCCAACCGCACCCCCTAATTCTGAAGCGAAATGCAAAAGCAAGATGCTTCGAGGATAAGACCTTTCGGGGGACTTTGTTTAGGCTCCACGTTAGCTTGAGCCAAAAACGAGCCCTGGATGTATAATTTCCCACAGCCTATGCTGAGAAACCTCAACTCTTTTATGTGCTACGCCCCTTGAACACATGATTTCGAGGGTGACTTCGACGGCCTCGCGGGACGTGCCTCTTTGGTGAGGTCTTGTTGGCGGAGAGCGTGGAGGATGCTGGAGGCCATGGAGCCGGGCAAAGGGGAATTCGCAGAGGTGAACACCGGCCGAGGACGGAGAGCTCCGAAAGAGGCGCGACTACAAGCAGAAGATTGCAGCTGGCCGGCCAGCAAGGAAGCAGCCTTCAACATCATGCCGTTGACGGGCAGGCAGATTGACTTTGAGCGCTTCTTCCTGAAGTCTTCCAGCTGCCGACGAACATGACCAGGACTTCTCCGAGAGTATGACAGTGCACAGAGTACGAAGAACTAGACGAGAACGCCCAGCGGGGCCCACCCCGTGCTGGCCATGATAATCTACGCCACCAAAGTCATTTTGTAGCGCCCGCGTCGGCTCTTAGACCTACCCATATTCCAAATGGCATGGACACCTTGACAAGGAAATATATGAACGTGCATGAGCGCAAGCCCTGCAAAAATATGCTTGCAACCCCAAAAACGAAAACAGCACTTACCATACCAACATGAAATAGCCACACCGAACCTCCTGAACATGACCTTCAGTACTATTCAGAGAATACCATGGGAAACAAGCCATTTGACCAATTTTCTATTTCTAAACTTTAAACCCCGCAACATGGTTGTTTTACCCAACGTGTGTAAAGGGGAGGTCAACCTTAGTCGTGTCATAGAGGAACTGTACAGGGCTATGATTTTGATGGTTCCACTTGGTTCGCAAGGGCACTCCAATAACCTACAGAACCTCACAGTGCTAGAGCACCCGGGCCTCACAGCCAGTACGATTGGTTGCTCAGCACCTGGCCACCGGCGTGCGAGTTGCCAACCCCGCCCCAAAGTCGGAAGGAACTCTGGAGCTGCTAGACTCCAGTCACGTGAACCATGTTGCTTTCATATTCCTGGATGTTCATTATGTGGATGCCGCATCCAGCGTGACCAGGGTAGAAAATTGGTCACACCAAAATTCCATTGGTACTCCTTCGGACTTGCGAAGAAGTCTTGCAGGTGCGACTGCCATAAACCAGGAGTCGGTTAACGTGAGTGCAAAGCAGTGCACTGGCGTGCCTGCACAGCCTTTGGTCGATTGCTGTCCTGTCAGGCGATCGCACTCAACCCGATAGCACTTTTCTCAACTCACATGCAAGATCTCCAACATTTGCCGCATGCTCGTGATCAAGTACTTTCCTGCAAAAAATGTGTGCCCCCGAGTCCGCAGTCCTCCTCAACCACGTCAATGTCATGCTTCTTCATGCCCTGTGCTCGAAGGACTCTTCGGCGTGCTTTGGCTTCTTCCCTCGTGCAGAAGTGGCAGTGGCTGCAGGCATCTCCCTTGCGGCAACCATCGCTCTTCATTGTGTAGAACAGGCAGGGCACGCACAGGCCGATATCGTGCATATCCTTCTTGGCAAGCCGGGGCAACGGAAGGAATTCCGGCCTCGGGGCCGGATTCATCTTGTCGCCAGTCATGGCTGCTACTTGTCTCGCGCAGGTACGTCGAGCTGACAAGCGGAACAAGGCTTTCGGAGCGATCTCCTCCCCTCGAGCCGCTTTTAATCCAAAGCGGCAGGCAAACATACGCGATGTGAACAAATGCAAATCCGTTGGAAGCCTTTCGATCACACCATCCGATTGACTGTTCAGAAAGCTGAGGCATGAACAACGAGATTGGAATGCCAACACCTACAGAAGCTCTGCATGCGTCTGTGTCGTTTTCTTTGGGCTCAGCCACCTGGACTAGAACAACAAACAAGCTGAAGGGGGGCGTGTCTTGCTGGTAAGAATAGTGCGTGCGCTTGGCACGTGTGGGTTCGTCTCCAAAATGAGGGAAGCCAAGACATGCTTGACATGAAGAGAATATGTAGATGTGACCTCGTTTGTTGGGGGTCCATTCCCTGTGTAAGACAAACCCATGTGGCTGTTGACCCCTTGCGGCGACAGTTTGTTTGGGTGGCTTCCTTTC